GAAACACAAAAGACTGAGGGAGTGGAGGAGAGGAGGGTCTTTTAAGCAAATTAAGTGACGTGTTTCCTGTGTGTGGGGGAGGAGATTCCATCTCGTGATGCTGTCCTGGAAGACGTTATGGGAAAGTAAACTAGCATTTTCAGAGGGAGATCCGCAACAGCAGTTTCCACATTACTTTCAGGACAGTGTTTTACAGCTGGCCACGTGACAATATGTGTTAGTAAACCAAAGGCAATCCACATTTGCAGATAGTCACTTGCCACTTGCCTCCCTTCCTGACATCAGTTCCCGAGATTTAGCCAAGAAGTTTTCAGCTCAGTAAAAATCACTTCTAATTTGAAGCCGAAAACCTGGACAAGGAAAAACAGGTAGTAAGCTGGTAACTCAATTTCCAGGACAGTAGATGAGAGAGACTGCCCACCTATAACAGGAAACACATCAACCACCATTATAAAAGTGTACAACCACCCAGTCACCTCAGTTATAAAAGAGAGCCAATGGAAACTAAAATAAAAAGCTACACAGATAACGCACACTAAAATTATGTAGAACTCTGATTTTCCCCAAGTCATCTTCCAGGACCGCATATGAGAGGATAAGTGAGAAACCACCTACTTAGGGAGGGATGACAGCCTGTATAACCTTTTTACTGAAGGCTTGGTCCTGGATGGTCATCGATTTAATCCTGTAATGTTGCACAGATGTCTGGAAACTCATCCATGTGGCTGCTTTATAGATCTGCTCTTGTGTGGCTCCAGCTCTATCAGCCCATGATGAGGCAAAGCTCTGGGGGAGTACGATATTATGTCAGGAGGTCTCCAGCATTACTCTGGATAGGATTTTGCAAACGCAAGCTTAACTCCATCTGTCTTTCGTGTTTTTTGTGGCCTTGTTTTCCCTCTTGGGTCCTGAAAAGAGAACAAAACAGTTTTTTTCCTCCTCAGATATGCTGATAAACCTCTTCTGACAACTATACATTGGAACACTGTCTCCTTTTCATTGGATGGGTTGGTGCAAAAAATAAACAAATGAATGCCCACTTATGTGCTGTGGAAAGGAGTTACTACTTTTGGTAGGAAAGTTGGGTCTGGCTTAAAAGTTTTTAGGCTATTTCAAATGTTGATTAAATCACTTTCAGCAGATGTTGCTCCTTGATGTTTAAAAGTGTTCGCTTCTTGCAGAATCAGCCTGTCCCCTAAGTACTGGCCCTGCCAGCTGCTGGAGACTATGCTGTCTCACGTACTGGACAGGAATTTTAGGAAAGTGGAGCTGAGAGAGCTGGAGCCAGCTGTTCAGAAACATGATGACGGTGTTTGGTCAAACATGTAAAGAAATACTTTGCTAGACAATGTATATTTGTTTGATCTGGATTCATGATTGGAAACAAGTTTGAATGTTTAACACTACTTCAAAATGATACTTATGTTAAAACTGTGCTGCAAGGTTGTCATAGACAAAGCATGAATTTCAGTAAGGGCCATTTTAAGAGTAAGAATTATCTCATTAATAGGGTCAAACGAAGCTTTGCGGAAGCCTCAGATTACAATAGAGAGGTCCCATGTAGGCAAACTTTTAAACTTTGGCGGTCGATTTCTTATAATGGACTTCAGAAATCTCGATTAAGGGATCTTCTGCTAGTTTAATATCTATATAGACAAACTGCTGATACCCACATTCACAATGGGTTTTTGTCTGCCCCTTCCTGTAGAAACTCAAGGACTGTGGCTACCAACAGGTAATCAGTACTCCTGTTACATCTGAGCCAAAAATAATTTTTTTTCTCACACTCCTTTTCCTCTTAGAATTCCCCTTTCAGATACTTGTTGAAAGATGGAGAGCTTGCACCTGCGGCTGTGCTGCCGGGCCCGGTTGTTGAAGATTGGGTTGGACTGGCAGAATCCGAGGTGGCAGGACACTCAGTTTGCAAAGGTCTGTGAAACCGGTTCTTTTTAGACAGAATAGGACAATTAAAATGATTCTGGCTTTCTCCTTGATGATCTTTGGAATCACACTGAATGGAGGAAACGTCCATAGGTGTGCAAATGCATCCAGAACCAGACATTTTCTTCTAGTGAAAAAAGCTGTCCAGTTTCTTTTGACTCGAAGCAAAGCATGTCTACTTGTGGATCTCCCTATTTGGCTGAGATTGAGTTTGCTGATCCAGAGACCAGGGGTTGACTGGCCATCGGACATACCAAGCACTTGCCCAGTAGGCCGACCTGAGCCAGATCAGGGCTGTCAAGTGTCTACCCGCATGCAGCCCTTCCACACCACCTGCTTGCAGGAAGGGCTGGCAGCTTATCACCATGTTGTGCACCCTGGTCCCACACATGGGGGTGCGAAATGGCAGGACCTAAGTGCCGGGTGCCAGGCAATCTAGGCCCCCTGCATGTGGATTCATATTTGTAGGCCAGCCCGTCATCTCAGCGGGTATGGTGCGGCTATGCTTCCCACGCTGCTCTCAGAACAAAAGCCAAGCTAGGGCTGAGCCAGTTTGTTGCCCAGTCTTAAGATCATGCCTCTGCTTAGGGGTTAAAATACTTAAGCTGGGGATCTCACCAGTCCCCTTGCCCTGTTAGTCCACTTGCCTGGTGGTCCTCAACTGCGGGCAGGACCTCCTTACTCAGGATCCTGCTCCTCTGCTGAAGAGAATTCAGACCAGCTCCCGGAACACCTCCTAGCTTACTATCCTGTGCTGTAGCAGAGGGACCAGACGCCCTAAGCGAGAGTTGTATTCCTATCCTTCGATTGCTGCCCTGTGACCCTGAACCCTATCCTTGCTGCCGTTTACTCTTTTGCCGTGTCTGGATAAATGTCCTGTGACCCTGGACTCTACCCTTGCTGTAGCCTATTGCGGTATGCCCCTTAAGAAAGAACCCCTGACACCGGAGCCAAGGGCCTTATAAACTACTCTCGATCTCTGTGTTCTGTCCCCCCACACCTCTGTCACATGGCCAAACACAATCAGGGCCGGAGCTACTCCTGACCCTGGAAGTGCCGAACTGGAAACTGAGCAGAGAGCAGCAAAGAGGACAAGCAGTGTGCTGGAAGCCACCAACTGGCCGCATCATAGAGAAGTGGAAACTTAATCCTCCTGTCCCATCGCACTCCTGACCGGCCAAAAACCCAAATCCAACTGGGTGGGTGCGGTAGTGACAACGGATGCCTCCATAAAATGTAGATAGATGAAAGTAGTCACTCGCACTCCATGATATTAAAGTCAATAAACAGCATTGACTTTAATATCATGGAGTGCGAGTGACTACTTTCATCTATCATAGAGAAGCGGGACACTGACGATTGTCCCCGTTATAGTGACAATCTGTAGTACACTGTTACAGTAATTATCTCCTGGGCACCACAGTGGTGATAATCTGCAAGGCACTGTTGTAGTATTGTGCTGGGTACTGTTGTGGTATTCTCCTGGATGCAATTAAAGTAAAAAGCTGCTGGTGCTAGTGTAATATTCTGCTGGGCACTGTTGTAGTAATTAGGGATGCACTGATATAATCGGCCACCGAAACTGGCACTATGCCAAAAGTGCCATTTTCTGGCTGATACAGCGGTGCATCCTACTTTTTCTTCCCTGCTGGGCGCTGCTCGGTCCCCAAACGGGGAGTAATGAAACTGACAGGCTGCCGAGCGCTGCAGGAGAGAGCTGTGAGTGGCCGGCGTCTCTCTTCTGGCACCGCTCAGCCTCCTATCAGTCGGGCAGAGCGGTGCAGGGGCGGAGACAGCACGCGCTGTCACAGGAGGCTGAGCTCTCCTCCCTGCTCCGCCTCCTGTGACAGCGTGTCAGGAAGGGGAGCAGTACAAGCACTCGGCCATCACTGAGTGTTTGTACATATGTTAACGATCTCAATTATGAATGAATGGGAGTGATCTATATCACCTCCTGTTCATTCATGATTGTGGTTATAGTAAACACACAATGTCCTCATGTTATGAATGAACAGGAACACTCAGGAGGATTCCTGTTCATTTGTAACAGAGGATACAGAAAAAAAGAGGCTTGATGGCTCTGTGTCCTCAATCTCTTTTTCTATTTTAAAAAGGGAAATATGAGGGGTCTGTTTAGACCCCCAAATATTTCCCCAAAGCACCTAACAGTAAAAAAAAAAACGTATTTTAAAAAAAAAATACATTTAAAAACATTAAAAAAAGTTTATAAAATAAAATGTAAAAAATTAAAAAAAAATTTGGTTTCGGCTTGACTTTTTTAATTTCGGTTTTGAAATTAAAGTTTGTAATCTGTGGGAACTGTCCATTTACATCTGACTCCCCATAGACTTAACATGGGTCCGGTACGTTTAGTTTTTCTCCTCCATTGCAAGATGGAGGAAAAAAACTAAACAAAAAAAAAAAAAACTGTATAGACACTGATGTCACGACAGAAAAACATTTTTAAAAATAGATGGCCCTTTGATTTAGAGACACACACATTTATCTTATTGGTCGCTCAAGCACTTGGAACTGGAGCTTAATTGTGTGTAAAGACCTTGAGAAAGTTGTTTAAAGCATTCTGAAAGCTTTTCAAATGCGTGTACACGATGCTCTTCAGACTAGCATTCATAAATCTGTGTGAACTAGACCTAATAGTTTATGGAACAAAGGGTAAAAGGTGAAGAAAACTGGACTTTCGTACTGACCAAAAACTGCTTTGCATTCTTCATACTGCAATATCTATACAGTTGTAAACACTGCCAAGTAGATCTCAGATCATGTAACATTATGACTTGCACAAAAAACTATGTAAAATGGTTGCAGTAAGTTGACCCTTCCATAGCACAGATTTGACACATGAACATACAGCTATACTCTGTATAAGCATGGCAGAACACACAGTTGGTTTATCACTATACATGCACCATGCCACTATCAATTTACCATACTGACAGCATATATTTAATTCTATATATGCCATGGAGTCAAGGCTTTTGTAGGACAAACCAGAATAAGACATTCAAATAAGAAATCACGATTCATTCGGTGGGTAATGCTTCTTGCTCAGTGCTTTATTTAATTATTATTATAATTTTTTCCCCCACCCATTCACAAGAGGTTCTTGAGAAAAATATGCACTTTACAATACTTTTCCACTGGATTTATATTAACTTTTACAGGTTTAAAAATCCATTTGTCATGAAATAAAAAAAAGGGCACACCAATGCAATAATTCGTTTTCTTACTTTACATTTGTACAAAGTAGCAAAAAATGAACAGATCGCAACACCAGTCTATATGGCAAATCGAAACGCACATGTTTGTGCACAAACAAACCTTTAATATTCAGTAATTGGGTCAGTAGCTTTAAATTCATATCTTATTCAAGGCAACCATAGTCATCCACAAAAGATCAATGTATATGATCTTGACAGATATTTTACTTCTATACCCTATGCAAACAGGTGTAGCCTACTTATCTGCCTAAATAGGCCAGAAAGAGCTTTACTGCAATGTCTACAAACAGGATTATATACAGGACAACATCTGCCCATAGCTAAATGTCACTTTCCATGATCACAAATGAAATATTTTAATTGTGGAAAGATCTTGACACTTCATTCTAAATTTGTAAATGCTTTGCGGGTTTTTTCTTTTTACCCCCCCAATAGCAGGGTTTGAATTAAGGCACACTGGCCTTTAAATGCATTTGTGCAACAAACTGGTTTGAGCAAGAGTGTGGAATTTGTGACTTCCCTTTTTTTTTTCCAGTGTTCTGATACAAAATATTACAGTGATTTCATTTCATATATTTACAAAAATTTGCAAAGGTACAAAATGATAAATTACACATCAGGCTTGGCAAATAGGATGTTCAAGAGTACAATACACATTATGCACAATTTAGGTGAAGCCCATTTAGTTCTAGATAGAATCACATTATAGTGGAATAGTTCATCTAAACTTGCTCTAGTCATACAGACCAGTTCCCGGATGAATTCACGATGTATATTGTGCTATTAGAAGTGTTGCATCTCTGACAATAACTCATTGAAGAGGCATTTGGTGTATGGCAGTTGAAAACTTACATTTATGTATGGCTTTGTGGTCTGTTCTCTAAACAGACTATTGCTGTGAATTTTCACTGCCCAAACAACCAAGCCATCAGATGAACATGATGAGAGTTGATGTTTAAGTTATATGAACAATCTCAATGCCAAGCCTAATACAGTACAAAATTGATTTGCTGAAAACGGTGCTTAGACTATTAATAGCCGTCTATCCATTCAGCGAAGCCTCTTTCCACAAGCGACCTGTTGACCGACACCATCTGTAAAATTGGAAAACAGTTTACAAGCTAAGCAATTATAGGCACACTGCAAAATTGGTCAATATAATGTTTATGAAATCACATTATACTAACTTCTATCTTGGAGTTAAGATACATCTAGTTGAACGTAGAACTTCATTCATTGTTAATATGTGCCATGGTTCAGTCGCAACAGGTTTTCTTGATATTGGCATAAATGTCCCAACCCCAGGCTGTATCAACTTAACCTTAGAAAAAGCACTGAGTAGAGGGAAATCTTGCTTATTGGGCTCACAGAAAGCATTAAATCCTAGCCCAACTCCCATCTAGAACTTAAATAGATGCAAGTTCTAAATCATTTTTTTCAGTGTTTGGTTCTCTCTGTATACAGATTTCTCTTATTTTTGAATCTGTTGCAGAGTGTTTTACCCAGATATCCTGCCAGAAACACCACTTTGTTGCAGGCCCACAACACTGAGCCACTACCTAACAATTAGCAGCAGCATTGTGAGCCTGCAGTGTGTAAGGTAGTATGTGCATGTAAGCAGGGGGACTCCAGATGGAATGCAATAAAACCACCACAAAAAGGATTGAAAAACTTATTTTGTTTCCCCCTCCATAGGGGGCTCAGAAGCCATGCTGGTCCCAGGCCACAGGCGGGTTAGCAGAGCCTGGAAAACTCAGCTGGAGGGGGAAGGCGGCACACGTGTCCCATAATGGTTAAGAAAAAAAAAAAGCTTACAGGACAGACATATATTTTTATTAGACAAAGATGTAAAACCCACTAATCTGTACTTATTTAACAATCTTACCTCATCTGGATTTAGGCGCCATAGTTGGACAAGTGGAAGCCTAGTCGCTTCATCATAATTTGTAACCTGTGGAGAAAAGCAAAAGTAGCATGACAGAAAAATAAGGCGGAATAATTTTAAAAAACCATACAATTGTAGAAGTCAGCTATATAACCAGGCAATATTCCGAGAACCAAAATGTTATGTGCAATTGAAAACTTTTGAATTCATTTTAAATACTAGCAGTCTCCAGCAAAGTAGTACAGTATATTAGATCCTGAGGCTCTTTCAGGGCTGGCCAAGCCATATTTTTGGAGCTAGTGGCTATATAATAGGAGGGGCCAACTTTGCCTCCATCACTGCAGCTCCTAATAAACTGCTGGGATGAATACACTGCTGGGGAAAAACATCACACAATAGCATCAACATTTTATACATAAACAGCACACAAAAAAAAAAAAGTTGCATCACCTGTGTAAGCATAGGTGCACCTCTTGTTAGCTCCTTTACAGCTGCATCGGCTTCAGCTGAAAAATGATCTTCATCTAAAAACAGAAATAACCAAGTTTGAGCAGTAATACTAAAAAGGTAACTTTTTAAGTTATAACAAAACAAAAAAACCCTTAAGACCGGCCCATTAAATGAGATTTTTGGACATATTATATAAAGGAGACCTGAAAAGTAAAGTAGTCCACAGCATCCAGATTCCATCAGTACTTGTTCTGCTACAGCAGTGGAAAATTGGCACTTCATGTTTTATGTGGTTCCAATAAGCTTGTGTATAAATGGTTATAGACTTTATGCAGAAACCAGTACTGTATGTACCATACTAAAATCTAGTCTATTTCAAGAACACTTAAGCCCCCTGGAGACAGCTCTTTAGGACTCACTTGAAAAGGTTCTTGGATGGTATATAACCAGACATTGAAATACTAGAATCACCGTGGACAACCTTATTTTGCCCTTATTAAACAAAGTTTATAAAAAATAAATATCTACAAAGTTAAAGTCGAAAACAAAAATGTAATATACTACTGCTCACAAATCCTTAGATATGGTGGCTGCATTACTTTCTTAGCTTTATTTTCACCTGGTGATCCTTCTAGTAACTCTTCCTGTCGCAAGATGACAGCACTCACTCACCATAATGAGCCTATGTAGGGGCAGCGTTGTCACTCTAGGCTGCTCTCCTGATTTGGACCACAAAACACCACCAACTGTCTGACACAGGGAGAAGAGGGGTTGTAGTTTACAGAAAATAGCTGAGACGGCTGATACCATTGTTTGCAATGTTTCAGTACAGTACACATGAAGTTACTGCACTTCTGACAAGATCAATAGGTATTTTTATAGAACTTGCAGAAAACATGCTAATCCTTAAGTCTAAGGACTGGTAAGCTGCAATGTAACAGACGCTTGTTATTGAGTTTAGATAAGACTTTAAATGAAAAACAAATTAAGTACGTCTTGGAGTTTCATTACCTAGCAATAGGTTGCCTTGTTATAGAGCCACCCCAGTAAAGCTTTAATTTTATTGGCATATTTGAATTCTGAAACAGAATGATCTGTTTTCTTGTAAACTTCTCACCCACCTCCTAGTGGAATTACATTGTCCAGAAGAACCTCTACACCCTGGAAGGGTAGTGAAACGAAATCGGACCTAGAAATAAGACAAGTTGTCAGATAATTGAGCAGTCAAGGCAGGTTAACAGGTCAACTACAAAACTTTGCACTCAGCTACTAACCAGGCAGCAGGAACTAATTCTAATATATATCCAGAACAAAAAAAACGAATAATGTGCCACGCTCACAAATAACCTGCGATTCTTATCTACAATGCTAAAGCTGGCCATGCACCTATTATCTGCAGATTATCTATGGTCAGATGGGAAAAGTGCAACAGATTCCTTCATAAACCCTAAACTGTATGGCTGGAGGAATCTCCCACTAGGCCAAGCTTCAGTATCTTGCTAGTCGGCAACGATGGCTGTTAAAATACCTGAACAATCTGATTGGATGCAGGCATTGTTCAGGTGTTTTGAGAGCCAGAGGGGCCGACTAGCAAGATACTGAACATGCGCAGCTCATTGCAGAGTCTCAGAAGGACTCTTGCCCAGACAAAGCAACTTCCACGTGCAATACACAGGAGCCGTCATATCTGGCCCTGCCCAATCAAGCTGCCGTAGACTCAGAACCCAGAAGAAAACCAGAACAAAGATGAAAGTTCCAGTGAGGGGAGGAGAGCAGTGAGATTGCTGGAGGGGATCGCTCTGACAGGCAAGTCTGCCATAATTGTGCTGATATGCTGTCCAGTACATTAAAATAGAACCTTTTTTTGGCCATAGTTCTCTTTAGGGTCACAGGAGGACATTTACTATGACTAACCTGATTTGTCTGAGGGTGTTAATCTTGACTCTATTGTAGCCACCATAATCCACATAGAGGATCTCAACTTCCTCAGTATCCTCAAAGTAGGCCATTACTTGTGCCCTCCACCAAACACTGGGTCCAACAGGTGCCGCACAGAGAATCCCAACTATAAAAAGAAATTGAAATGTTAAATTCTCTTCATGATGGGACAGGCTGCTAGTCACTCTTACTATAACCACTGATAAACCAAAAAAAGTAAAATATTTTCAGGAAATGCATCGAGTTATTTTTACACCTTTAAAAAGGGACATGGTCATGAGAGAATAATGGATGCTGCCACTACGGAACTCTCCTTTGAGAATGCCAATTCCCCTGGCTGTGATTCAATAATTTGACCTCTGCACTGTCAGTTGCTGATCCAGAAAAAGTATAGAGAATTATTTCTGTCACTCCATGCTTGTTCTGGGACTCTGACCGAAACCTTCCAGTCAGGCATCTATCATTTTTAAAAGAAAATGTCTTGCCAACCAGCAATTCAAAACAACCCTTATAGCCTCTGGCTAATGCGAGATTTAGCTGCTTATCCAGTTATTAGAATCACATTGATTTGTTTGCTTAAAATAAGGTTACTGCCAGCAAGTGGTTAAACCTCCCAGTAGCAGAGAGATGTAATCATCTGGGTATCTTAAGGTGCACCAGTGCTTAGACATCAAAATGTTCCTAAAAAACATTGAAACAGCTTTAAATCCAGCTTTCACTGTCCTCTTGCTGCATGTAGTTCAAAGTAATTTGGTTGTAACCCCATGCCACCGATTTCTGCCAGTCCAGCCACTTAAGGGGTTCATAACACGGAGTCTGGGTCAGTCTTCCCAATCACGTGATTGGTTGTCAGTCACATAATTGGGAGCCTGCCCCACCGGCTCCTGAAATAAACCGTGGCTAGGAGCCGTTGAGAGCTCAGTCACTGTGCTGGGAGCGCAGAATGAGCACCAATCTTAGCACAGAGTAGCAGAACCAGCTGAATGTAGTATACAGTCCAGTGGGAAGATGTTAAAAATGAAAATAAAATAAGAACAAAGTTAGCTTCACTTTAGAAGCCCCTGCTTCTTTACAATGCTGAAAGGATGACAAGATTCTGCACACTATAAAAAATAAATAGGAAACGATATGTAATTTCAGTGCCTCTGTTGGGACATTAATAGGTTTAAAAAGATTAATTTCTCCACAATGCTAACAGCTTCAGAGGTGAATGAGGGCTTGTGATTACATCACTTGCCATAGATGCTGCTCCATATTTAAAAGTTCTAGTTTCCAGTACAATTAGCTGGTCCCCTGAGCACTGGCCCCAATATCCTGTTTTAGGGTAGCGCCTTTCCCTCATAGGTTCCTAAGGAGACACACACGCTAGTGAGCGGTGTGTCTCCATAAACACATAGGCACAGCAAGGAAAGTCTCTCCCCTGTTCCCGAGTCCTTCCTTCTCCAAGCTTGTATACATGGACAGCTGCTGCAAACTCCTATCTCCCTTTTGATCTTGTACGCAACAGGAAGTTCAGGGAAGCTGATGGAGTTAGAGCCAGCTGTTTCAAAACGTGTACTGAGTGCATGAGCAAAAATTAATACTTTGCTGGGCAATGTACAATTTGTTTGATCTGGGTTCAATATTGGGGAGAAAAAAAAGATTGAGAGTTTACTATTTTAAGTGTTTTCAATATTTGAAAGCATGTAAAGGTTTTTTTCATTTAAAAAAAGGAGAACTATGAGGTGAGTGCTTTTCACTCACCTCATAGTTCTAGCCGACCTGTGACAATGAGACTGTCACAGGTCGGCTCAGTAGATCGGGGAGGTGAGCGAACACATAACGGCGTTCGCTCACCTCTCGATCCTGTCACTGCTCTCTGCCGTGACGGGGGGATGGTTTCCCCCTCCGATCCGCCAGCGCTGACTGGCGGAACGGACAGGCGGAACGGACAGGGTACAGCTGGCTCTGGCTCTAGATAGGCAGAGCCAGCTGGGCGGATCCCGGCACAATTGTCGGGATCCGCTTCAGCGTCTCAGTATACTGCGAGCAGCAGCTCGCGGTATACCACGGTGTCTCAGTATACAGCTCGTGGTATACGGAGCCTAGGGCGATGGGAGGATGCTAGTTTGTGTCCTTCCGTTACCCTAAGGAGAACTATGGGGAAAAGCCCTAACCCCATAGTTCTCCTTTAAGTTTTGGATAGCATAAGGCAAGATGAAAACTTCTGTTGGTTATTTTTTGCTGTCTCTTCTGTTGCATCTTCTGGACAGGAAGTGAAGAAATCTCAACAGAAAAGTGGAAGGAAATCTCCCTAAAGTAAAATAATTATCCCCTTGCACAGCTGTCACCCACAGGTGTTTGGCTTTGGAAAATAAACCCCAATCTCTTGTTCTGATAGCAACAGAAATCTTAAATGCCCTTTCACTTTGCTTCAGAGCCAATGGTCATCAGGACAAACAGAGCGAGAGCCTGTTCAAACCATTTCCATTGAGCGGTTTTCCTCCACACATCACGACACATGTATAGTGTGAAAGATTTTCTGTAGTGTGCAGAAAAATACAGCAACACAGATATTGTGTGAACAATCCCTTTCCTTGCCTCCGTTAAAAGTGCTACAAGTGCCACCAGCCTTATAAAAATTTGATATTCTGCCTGTGTCTTCCACTGCGGTTCCATCCTCCCACAGACATTCAGTGCTCCCAGACGTGCTGAATGGTGGAGACTAAAGCTGGCCATACACTAATATTTTCTTCATTCAGCCCACAGCTTGAACAAAAAATAACAGATTCCTTACAAGCGTTTATCGAGGAATCTCATACAGCAGCGGCCGCTTTCAGAATACCCAAACAGAGTCTGCAGCGCATTGCCTGCCTGCTCTATTCATGCGAAGAGTTTGATTGGCTCCTTGGATCAGCTAATCGAGGGATGCCAGCCGAGAGGGTGCCGACAGCAGCACCCACAGTTCGAATTTCAGATGGTTCTTGATGAACAATGTCTGGCCAGCTTAATAGAAAGAGCAGCAATGGAACAGAGGGAAGGTAAGATGCAGGCCACTGGAGAGGCGAGTTTAACAGATCTTTTATTGCTGGGAACGGGCCTTTAGGATTTTCTTCTACCCTGAAAGGGGTCAGCTTTACACTGGAAGCGGGTCTGACGGCTGAGCCGCCACCCGATCACTTCCAGGGGCCATTGAAAAGTGCCTCCCCTCGCCCAACAATCCGGCCTTGCGGGACCAGCATCATGGGTGTTGGCAGGTAGAGGAGGTTATCGTCTCGTGCACCAGAGTGAGCGATAATTCCAGCGCCAGTTAGTTCAATTTTTGGTTTGATAAAGCGTTGCACTAAGCTCATATGACAAACATTTGCAACTGCCGCCATTTTATTCTACAGGGCCTGTGCCTTCAGTAAATGTATAATTCTCAGGAGCTAAGTAATTTTCAGGCCTAAAATCTGAATGTGTGCAAAAAAAAAAAAAAAAAAGAGCATTGG